CTGCGAGCGTATGGTTCAGGCGTTGAGCGCCGGGCGGAAGGAATTTACTGAAGTGTGCGATCGAGTAAAACGACGGCTGTTTGTAGTACTCCCGGGCCGTAGCGTTCACTATAATCGGCGCGTCCACAAAGTTTTTTGACCAATTGGGCCCACCATTAGTGTCCAGAGCCAGATTCCAGTCAACCCAACCCCCGACCCAATGATTTAAATCCTAAGCAATAAAAATTTATTTGTATTTTATATGTATTAGAGTTATAAATAGTGTACAACTTTATAAAGTATACTTATAGTTTAAGTTTTATATAACCTGTTCACTTACCCTAATAATATCAGTGGCGTACTTCTCAAATAATTTCCAACTGCCCAAATAAACATGGTGATCCTTGCCCTGCCACATTTCACACGCCTCGGTGCTCAAAATGAACTTGCTCGGGTTTTGATTGTGCACAGTATCGAGCATGTTCACATTGGTTTCATTATTTTCATACCAATGAATGGCCGTTCCGGACACGTATTGGGCCGCTTCACTGTCTCTGTAGATAACATTAGCCCATTGTGTGACAGAATGTATGTTATCGTCAAAAACCATAACTCGGGTAACGTTAGGCCCATAACCGGCGGCAGACATAATGGGACCAAAGTCTAGTTTCAGAAAATCCCGGTACAGTTCGGGAGTGAATGCCATTGTATTAAACCAGTGTTTAGGGTATATTACTAGAGCTAACGCGGGCTCATTTTGAAGGGTTAGACCCCATAAGGGTATGCCTTGTGCTTTGTATGCGTCCAGAAATCTGTGATTTTTATAATTTATAAATTACATATATGTGTCATAAATAGGTAAATATTAATATTTAAGAATAACCTACTTTACTAAATAATTGGCGTATGCTTTATAATATTCACCACCTGGTTTGCCTATTAAAAAATCACCATGATTTACGTCAGAAATGTTTTTCATCCATTGGGGTGCTGTCCATGGACTGGCCAACAGTCGCAAACCGTGCTTGCTCACTTGTTTAGCTGCTTTGATTATGGGTATCTGTCATTTAAAAAACTATTTATTTAAAGCTTTTTAATAATATAAAATGCCAAAGTAATACTAACCTTATCATTAAAATCCTCTTCCGTTAGATTAAAATGTTTTAATTGCAAATCATTTTTATAGTTATCGTCATAAGTATAGCCACGGGTGGAGAAGTCCGTGCCTCCGATCGGTATCCGACCCAATGTATACTCAATACCCGTTTCCCCGAAATAGTCCTCAATTAACCGCTTTTGCAGTATTTGTGGCAAACTTTTAATGTTAATACCGGCGGCGTCTGTGAAGGCGCCCC